TGCGGCCTGGACGCCTGGGTTCCCGCTGCCCCACCACCCCAGACGCCTGGGTCCCAGAGACCCCCCGCGTTGGACGTTCATCGTCGTGGAGGTCAAAGTCCTCCTGGAGAACCTCCCCGTGTTGGACGTTGATCATCGTGGAGGTCAAAGTCCTCCTGGAGAACCCCGCCGTGTTGGACGTTCATCGTTGTGGAGGTCAAAGTGCTCCTGGAGAACCCCCCCATGTTGGACGTTCATCATTGCGGAGGTCAAAGCGCTCCTGGAGAACCCCTCCACGTTGGACGTTGATCATCGTGGAGGTCAAAGCGCTCCTGGAGAACCCCCCCGTGTTGGACATTCATCGTCGTGGAGGTCAAAGCGCTCCTGGAGAACCCCCCTGCGTTGGACGTTCATCATTGCGGAGGTCAAAGTGCTCCTGGAGAACCTCCCCATGTTGGACGTTGATCATCGTGGAGGTCAAAGTGCTCCTGGAGAACCCCCCCGACTTGGATGTTGATCATCACGGAGGTCAAGGTGGACCTGGAGAAACCCCCCATGTTGGATGTTCATCGTCATGGAGTCAGGATGCTCCGGGAGAACCTCACCACGTTGGACGTTCATCGTCACGGAGGTCAGGGTGCTCCTGGACACTGGGGTCCCTTGCTTGGACATTGGGGTGCCCACCCCACCCACTGGGGACATTGGGGTTCCTGACCTCTCCCCACCCTGTTTGGCTTCGTTAGGCACCCCCCCCCGCCTCGTTACCGGAGCGGGGCGCCACCCTCATTAAAGCTGCAGCTGGTGCCGAGGGGAGAAGGTTTATTGGGGACGCAGGTGTCCAGGGCAGGGCAAGGGGGACAACGAGGAGGAGGAGGAGGAGGGGGGAGGAAGGCTGAGAGGGTGTTGTGGTGCCCGGAAGCCCCATTTAGCCCATTTCTTGCCCCAAATCCATCTTCATCATCGTCTTCCTCCTCCTCATCTTCCCTTTCAAGGCGTCCGTCATCTTCCTCAGGGTGTCCGTCTTCATCACCATCCTCCTCCTCAGCGTCTCCTTCTTCCTCAGCCTCCCCATCTACCTCCTCACCGTCACCTTCCTCCTTCTCAGGGTCTCCGTCCTCCTCCTGCTCATTATCACCTTCTTCCTCAGCATCTCCATCTTCTTCCTCAGCATCTCCATACTCCTCCGTAGTGTCTCCACCTTCATCACCATCCTTCTGGTGGTCTTCATCCTCCTCAAGGTCTCCATCTCTGTTGCCATCCTTCTCCTCAGAGCCTCCGCCATCTTGTTCCTCAGGGTCTCCCATCTTCTGCCTCTTCACCTTCCTCCTTCTTGGGGGTCTCCGTCTTCCCCCCTCACCTACTCACCATCACCTCCTTCCTCTTCCTCAGGGCTTCCATCCTTCTCACCATCACCTCCTTCCTCTTCCTCAGGGCTTCCATCCTTCTCACCATCACCTTCTTCCTCAGGGTCTCCATCCTCGTGGTCTCCATCTACCTCCTCACCGTCACCTTCCTCCTCCTCGGGGCCTCCATCTTCACCACCCTTCTCCTCCTCGGAGTCTCCATCTTCCTCACCGCCCTCCTCCTCCTCAGGGTCTCCATCTTCCTCCTCACCGCCCTCCTCCTCCTCGGGGTCTCCATCTTCCTCCTCACCACCCTCCTCCTCCCGGCGTTCTCCACCTTCCCGCTCAGGCGACGGGTGACAACAGGGACAGTCGGAGCGGTGGGACGGCTCGGCGTCGCGCCGGGGGTTGTAGAAATCTATAGCGGGGGGACACGACACCCAAACCCCTATAGAACCATCACCTATAGGGGCCACCACCCGTCGGCCGGCACGGCGACGCCGGC